CCCCCCTCCACCGCGATCGGGTTTCCCGGTGATCTGGTGAGGTGGAAATAGATCCCTGTGCCAGGGTCAGTGAGAGTGGAAGGAAAACTCCACGGATCGCTCCTGGTGTTGGTGAGAGGGAAATAAACATTTACCGGGCTGGAGATTTATCCTGCAGTGTTCAGCGGCTGCAGGAATCCAGCAGGATTCTGGAGGAGGGGAGAGGTTGGGAACAGCCTGTTCTGGGCGCTCTGCAGGAGCATCTACCACCTCTGCTGCCGAGAGGTCAGGCTCTACACCGTGCCAATGGAAAATCCAACGGGAACAAGGTGGGGTCATCCCCCCCAGGCACCGAATCCAGAGGGATCAGCTGAGGGGCAAGAGGGCAGGGAGTGAGCACACAGCCCCTGTCAGGCTTGGTTTGACTGCTGTGAGCAGAAAAAATACCCCACATAATCAACTGTCTCAAAAAATGCCTTGTCACAGCCATGGATTGTGGCATCAGAATCATCCAGAAGTCCTGGGAGGGGGAAGGACAGGTATGGAACACTTTGCTCATCATGATGGACTAATGCACTGAAGCCTCTGAAGGCTTGAATAATTTGGGAACTACCTCACCTCACGGCTGCCATCTCCACCATCCCAGGAGCTGCCTGAAATCATGAGTGTGTTTATTCTCCCCAGCTGTATTCACAGGGAAATCCTTCATCTCCAAGCTGGGGTAGATAATTCATCAGCTCTAGGCAGATAAGCATTATTTCCATCTCTTCAGTGAGATGTAATTAGCTGGCATGATTAGACTTTATCAGTCTGCAATTCTGTACAACTCCAGCACTGCACAGCCTCTGATGGGAGGGACGTCTGTGCCGGGTCCCTCAGAGCCCCAGCATGTGGGACAGGCCCAGGACAGGGTGTGACAAAGCCATTTGAGCATCACTTGTGCTGCTGGCACTGCTGGTTTTTTCTCCTGAATCCAGGGGCTTTACCTGGAGCCTTTGCAGAGGGAGATGGGGGAGCAGAGCAGGGAGCTGGGATCTGAGCCTGCAAAGGGGGATGGATTTAAAGACATCCCCGGGAAGGATGGAGCCAGGAGGGGAGACAGGAGGGCAGTGGGGGCTGTGTCTGCACCTTTTGTGCTCAGGAGGAAGGGCTTAGTGCCTGAGCAGGGCCAGGCTGGGCTCCCAGAAACTGCAGCTGGAGAGGAAGGACAAACCATCCCCATCCCCATCCCCATCCCCATCCTCTTCAGACACCCATCAGGGTGGCAGGGATGGAGGAAACCCTGACCAGGAGCATGTTGGGGACAATGCCCTCTGCATGTGACCATGTGGGAATAAACCAAAATGTGCTGGAAAGGAAGGACAAACTATTCCCATCCCCATCCTCATCCTCCTCAGGCACCCACTGGGGCAGTGGGGATGAAGGAAATCCCGACCAGGAGCACATTGAGGACAATGCCCTCTGCATGTAGCCATGTGGGAATAAACCAAAATTTGCTCACTTGCTGAGTTTTGAGCTCCCAAATGTCCAAATCCAGTCCCAATAAAACCCTTCAAACAACTTCTTTACTTTCCTGGCCCAAGCTTTAGCAGCTGAGCCTGTCTCTGGCAGCAGCCAGCCTGTGCCAGAAGCTCCCTGCTGTGTCACCACGTGGCACTGTCTGGTGGTGCCAGGACATCGTGCCCATCCTCAGGTGGTTTTTGAGCCCCAAAAGCAGCCTGTGTGTCTGTGTGACAGCCTCCAGGCTCAGCTGACAAGCTATTTCTGTGTGCCACAAACATTCCCTTCCTGTTTGCAAATCAACAATATCAATGTTATTTTTTACCTCTTCATTCAGGTTTTATTTATTTATTTAAGAAACACACCAGTGGGCAAAAGAGGCAGTGATGACTCAGTGCTCCTGTGGATTAATTTTTTAAAAATAAGGCTTTTAAACCACTTACTTGGTTTATTTAGCAGGATTCTGTGTGCACTGCCTAAATCATATTCCATACATTGCTTTTTTGGAAGGGATGAAGCTTGGTTTCTAATAATGAAGTTATTTACATGGATAGATATTCCCATTTATTTTCAATTTGAAGGGGGTGGATGCATTTTCATCGCCTCTTAAATACCATCACCCCACTAAGACAGAATTTCAAATTAATTCACAGCTAGACTCCTCAGGGATCAGCACTGGGGAAAGTGTTTAAAAGCCTCCAGTGGAATGATTTTCTATTGGAAATGAGATTTTGCTGCAGATAAATTTCCCACAAGAATCCCTTGATACCAGCAGCATTCTGGGCAGGCAAACAAACTGCAAACAAGCCCCATGCTAAGGGTAAAACCTTCTTATGGGGCATCTCAGGGGGGAAAAGAAGGGAAATATTCCAGCTTTGGAATTATTTTCCCATTGAAATGAGTCAGAGAGGTGAGAACACTGTTAGGATGGAAAAGGCTGATGCACTGTGGGCATTCCTGGGCGGACAGGGTGCTGGGACAAACGCAGGTGGCATCTGGGTGCCACTCGATGTCCTGGTGTTTTTTGACCACAAAAAACAGGGGAGTGTTCGGCTTGGGCAGAGCGTGGCACGGGCACACCGTACCCCAAAAGAGGATTCTCGGCTCCAGGGTGGCATCCCCCTGGCACGGCGAGGGGCAGGACCCGCTGCTGTCCCCGGGGGTGGTGGCAGCGCTGCAGGGCAGGGCTGGCGGTGGCAGCAGGAGGGGTGTGCCCATCCTGCCGCCCCCTGCCCAGCCCCGCGGCGGCCGAGGGCAGCTATTTCAGGAGGATAAACAGGATGCCTCGCTCCCAGCCCGGCCACTTCCAACCCTCCCTCCCACCGCTCCCGGGTAAACAAGGCCAGCCCAGGAAAAGCCTCCCGGAGCCGTTTCCACGCTGGCTGCCCCGCAACGAGCCAAGCAGCTGAGCCGAGCATCGCCCAGCCCAGCCCCGACTTCCAGAGGTCTGGAAGCATCCAGGGACCCCGAGCGATCCCAAGGCGTGCATCCACCTCGGCAGCGACTCCCCGGAGCCGCCCTGCAGCTGGGAACGGCTTGAACTTTCTGGTCACGCCAGCACGTCCTCCTTCCTCCTCCTCTTCCTCGCTCGGTCACACCCCGAGCTGCTGGCGGTGCCCGGGCTCTGGGAACGACGGCGGCGAGGCCTTTCGTGCCCGCGGATCGTGCCCAGGCAGCGCCGCGGCTCCTGCGCGGCTGTTTCCGCCTGTTGCGCTCGGGAAAGCAGCCGCAGGAGCACAAGGGGAAGGAGGAGCTTTTCCAGCGTTTCCTCCAGCTCCGCGGCTCCCGCTGCTTCCTCCCCGGCTGTGTCCGAGGAGACTTGGCACGATCGCTGGCACAGTCCCGGTTGCAGTGTCCCGCTCTGAGTGTGCCCCCCTGCTCCCGGCTCTCCGGGAGATGCCAGCCCCCATCCCGGGACAGCTCCTGCGGCTGGGGCGGGTTTTAGATCACCTCCAGCGCTCCCATCCCGTTCTCCGCCGGGCTGGGGAGGCCGAGGGGCCCTCGCTGTGCCCGCATCCCCCGCCGGCTCCCAGCCCGCTCTCCGCTTTGGCACCAAGGCCGAGGCTGGGGTGCGGGGTGTGGGCGCAGGTGGGACGGAGCCCAGGTGTCGCAATGCCGGGCTGGAGCAGCGCCGTGCCAGCACCGAGCCGGTTTTCCCGGTGGCACTGCGGGGGGACACCGGGCACTGCCCAGCTCCCGGCTGGGGGCACGGCCCCCTCCTCCATCCTGCCCATCCCCCCGCCGGGTAATTAGCCGCGCTAATTGCCGGCGGGGGACACTCGCAGCCTCTCCCCGAGGCCGGGGGCGGCGGGCGGGACGCGGGGCGGTGCGGGAGGAGTGGCCGGGGGGGGCCGTGGGGCGCCGTGCTGCCGGGCCGCCCCGAGCTCTGCCTTCTTCCTCCTCCTCCTCCTCCTCCTCCCTCTTCCCTCCTCCTCCTGCCGCTCCTCCCGCCGCCCGGCCCGGCCCGGCTCCGCTCGCCATGGGAGATGTGGTCTCCACGCACCTGGACGAGGGTCGCCGCCAGCACATCGCGGGTGAGCCCCCGGCGCGCCCCCCGCTCCGCTCATCCTGGGGAGATCCCCGGGATCTCCCCATCCCTCCTTCAATCCCTTTGGGAACCCCCCCGCTCACTCTTCCCGGGACCCCAAGCCTGCTCTTCCCCTCTCTCGCACTTTAAACTTTGTAATTTTTAGTTTCCCCGCGGTTTTGCCTCGGCACAGCTCGGGGGGTACCCGAGGTGCCTCCCGAATGAAAGGCTGCGTCGTGCCGGGGTGTTTGTGTTGGCGGCGGGGCTCGGGGACCCCTGGGGCTGCGGGGAGGGCAGAGGGGACTTGTGCTCGGGGGGATGCTGGAAGCGCAGGGACACCGCTGTCAGCACGGGCACTGCTGGCGCTGGCTGGCAGATGAGTCTCATCCCCCTTCACAGCGCCGGGAGATCCTTAGGAACACCCCCCGCCCCGAGGTTCTGCGCTGCCTGCACCCCTGGCTGGCTGCAGGCAGGACACAGCAGTGCCCCCGCAGCTCCGTGGGACCGGCAGGGTGACAATGCGGTCATTGAGAGCCCGAGTGTCCCGGGGCGGCGGCGCCGCGCCCCCGGCTCAGGATGTGCGCCCGGAGCTGCCCGGGAAGCGCGGGGTGACGGCTGTGCACGGCACGGACCGTGTGAAGCCGTGCCTGGGGGCTCAGCGCTGCTGACTGGGGTCTGTGGTGACACTCCTGACCCCTGTGAGTGGGGTCATACCCTGTCGCCGTGCTGGGCTCCCCCAGGCCACTTTGCGTCACTCGTGATGCGGGCGCTTGGCTCCCCGGGGCTTCTGAGCGGGCAGGACGTGACCTCCGAGCTCTTTCATGTTCCAGCTTTGGTTTCAGTCCCCAGGCTGGCAAAACCTCGTCTCCAGTGGGTGAAGCCACCCCCGCAGCAGCGGGACCGGCCCTGAGCGGGTGTCACAGCCGAGGGTGGCTTCGAGCTGGACCTTGTGCGTCTCACCGGCAGCTCAAGGGCTGGGCAGCGCCCAGGGTTTGGAGGTGACTCCGCCGTATCACTCCTCTGTCGCGGCCATAAAGCCGCGGGAGTGGCTCTGAAGTCCTTTTGTCCCCAAGGGCTCTGGGGGAAGAGCTGCTGGAGCTGCCGTGGGGCTGGCACAGGGACGGCTGTCTCGCCGTGCAGCCCATCCGCCCTGCCAGGCCCCATCCTGGCAGGAATGCTTACGTGGTATGCAGCTCAGCAGGACGCCAGCAGGTTTCTGAGCTTTGAAGGAGAGCTTGGAACTCGCTCTGGGGTTTTCATCTTGCATTAGTTAAAGCTCAGCCGGGCTGAGCACCGGGTCGGGGCTGCCTGTGGTGTGTTTGGATCCAAAGCACATCCTGAATTTCTCTGGAACTTGCTGAGATTGTCTGTGCACAGATAGCTCCCCGTGCAAGCCCCTGTGATCCTAATCCTGAAGAATAACAAGGAGAAGCTTGGCTGAGTGTCCTGTGCAGGAATCTGTCTCTGCTGGGTCAGGGACTGGGTGTTTGCAAGGCCAGGCTGGATGGCTGCACCCTGGCAGGGGCTGAGCTGTTAGCCCAGGGTGGGATTTAATCCATGCTTGGGAACTGCAGAGAGCTTGTCATGGGAAAAAGTTTTCATGAGAAAAAAAAAAGATTTCTTGAGGAAAAAAAGATTCCTGTGGAGACTAGGCTGGGACGTGTCCTGTGCCATGCTGGAGTGAGCAAAGGGGACACACACCTGTACTGGGACACCTCCCTGGGAGAGACTGGGGAAAACTGTGTTCCTGGAGCACCTCTCTGCTCCTGCCAGGGCTCCTGGCTGGCTGGGGAGCCCCCGGAGCTGGGAGGGGCTGGAGCCCAACAGGCAAGGCACGACTTGCTGTCAGGCATGCAAAGCAACGTGGCGGGGAAAACTCCGGGTTTTCCTGCCTAGCTCGGCCTGTTCTCCACTGCTGCTGCCCCAGGAGGGATCCAGCCCTTCTCCACGCAGCTTTTCCTAGTTGTCCTCCCAAATCTGGGGGTTTTGGATTTGCTGCCCAGGCCCCCATGCCCCCAGGTTGCTGGAGGGACAGGAGCTCCTTGGGCTTGGCAGTGCTTCCCGAGGTTGCAGCCCCTTAGAGCAGCAGAGCTGCTGGGGAGAGCCTGGCCCGGACCTGTGCCCCTCCTGGGAATGGGGTAAAGAACGAGGGAGGTGGCACAAGCCCTGCCATGCCCACAGTGCCCAGGCTGGGCAGGTGCCATGCTCTGTCCCAGCCCTTTTGATGGTGGCTGTGTGAGGCTCGTGCCAATGGCTCCCAGAAGTCATGAGCCACACACGTGTGACTTGGGTGGCTAAGGAGCAGCGTCTTTCCTCTCAGCTGGGGCTGGAGGGCTCCAGGGAGTCACAGAGGCAGGTCCCTGCCAGCTTTGGGGCTGTCAGGGCAGCCAGGTGTGATGCACAGGTGTGATCCTGCATTCCCTTCTGCAGGGTCTCTCTGACCCATGCTCCCTCCTGCCACCCTGCTCTGCACATCTTCCTGCCTGAGTCAGCCAGTTTGTTTGTCAACACCTTTCAGCTGCTCTCCTCCTCCTCCTCCTCCTCCTCCTCTTCCTCCCTGATGTGGGTTGGGAGTTGTTCCCAAGCTGCTCTGTGGGCTGGAGCAGGGACTGGCTCACCCTCCTTATGCAAGGATGCCCAGCGTGGGCACCACCACCTGGGCACACCACGCTGGCAGGGATGGGTGTCCTGGGAAGCCAGGATGTCACTGGGTGTAGTTTTGCAGTGTTCTCTCATGCCCAGGGCAGTGGGTGCTCTCAGCATGGGACTGGATGAGCTCTTCCCTCATGCTGGAATCATGGTGCTTCCCTGGAGCATCCCATGGACCCCTTCTCCTGGGGGCTGAGCTGAAGCGTGGCTGGCAGCAGCTCTGGGTGGAGCTGCTGGTCCTGAGCCCAGGGGTGCCAGCACCCAGGGATGCAGCAGGAGCCCCTGGCTGCCATCCTGGGTGAGTGGCAGAGCCCAGGGATGCAGCAGGAGCTGCTGGATGTCTCCACGGCAGAGGGATGTGGAGGTGGGTGGCAGCACAGGGAGGGTCCCTGAGAGCTCACACCTTGCTCTGGCATCTCCGGGAGTCGGCAGCCCGTTAATTACGGAGTGAAGCAGCTGCTAATTTCGGGGTAGGACTTCGGCAGCAGCCCACGCGGAGGTGACACCGAGCCTCATCCCTGGGGCGGGACCTGCAGCCTCCCTGCTCCAAGGAGCCTTGTCGGGATGGGATCGGATGGGATGGGATCCATGGGATCCATGGGATGGGATGGGGTGAGCTGGGCTGCAGGGCCGGCTCCAGAGGTGCCTGGCAAACGCCAGAAGGCACCAGGCTGTGGTGTGCCCCCGGGGTGGAGGCTGCTGGCAGCAGGAGGAGGTTCGCTGTGGCTTCCCTAAGCGTGACACTCATTTCCCACCCTTTGCCACAGCTCAGCCCCAGCCGGCGTGGGAGGTGGAGGCTGCCGGGCTCTGGGGTTGGTCTTGGGCTGCAGCCCTCACCCTGCCCCGGGGGGAGCCGTGCAGGGAGGCTCCGAGGGCGCTGCAGCCGTGGAGAGGTTTCTCCCAATGAAATGTGTGTCTTTCATCGCCAAATAAATAACTCCCCTGGCATGTCAGGGCTCCCTGCCAGCGGCGAGGGCTGGTTCTGGCAAGCTGGGGCTTTACCTGCAGCCGTCGTGTCGGGGCACGGGGCTCGCTCCCAGCCAGCGTGTCGGGGCAGGGGACACGGCTCTGGTGGCCTTGCCACGGAGCCCTCCCGGCCGTGCCCCGCTCAGCCCCAGGGCAGAGCCTGCCTTCCCTCGGGGAGGGCTTCCCCGGCCTCCCCCGGCCCGGGTTTAGCCAGAGGCTGGGCTGGTGCGAGCTGGGGCACGCAGGGAGGGGATCCCTGTCTGCCTGGGAGCCGCAGCGCTGGGACAGGAGGAACAGCCAGGGTGGCAGCTCAGAGCTGTCCTCGGGCCAGCCCAGGGAGAGAAAAGCACCCCCAGAGCAGGACACCTCCATAACAGCATCAGACACCCCAAAACCCACAGCAGGGATGTTGGATTAAGCCCTTTTTTTTGACCCAGATTATGCTCTTTTCTGACCCAGATATGGGGCAACTGAGAGCCATTTTAAAAGCTTTTATTCTATTTTCAGTCTCGTGTGAAGGGTGAGACAATGACCTCAGCTCCCCGTCCCCAGCTGGCCAGGGATGCCAGGAGGGTGTGGATGCTGGTGCACACCTGGCTCGGCTCGGCTCGGCTTGGCCGGGCTCAGCTTGGCTGGGCTCGGCCGGGCTCGGCTCGGCTCGGCTCGGCGGGGTTGCGCCATTCCCAGGGAAGGTAATCACTGCAGAGGCAGGCTCAGAGCTCAGAGGGGCTCGGTGCCCCTTGGCACAGCCACTGCCAGCCCCAGCCCACCCTCCTGGGACTGCTAGGCTCCTGTGCCTCCCCTTTCCAGCAGGAAGCAGGGCTGGAGGGATGCAGGGATGTTCATCCAGGGCCACTTCACGGGACAGGGTGTGAAGGCAGGTGAGGAGCAGCTTCCAGGAGCTGCTCTGCCCCTGCAGGACCCAGCTCTGCTCCCACCACCTAATTTTTGGGGGGTGTCACCTCCTCCTGGGGCTGCAGCCCCCAGAGCCCATGTGCTGAGGCCCCCAAGCAGGGGCTGTGCCCCCTCCCCAGCCTTGGAGCCTTGCCCCCTGCCTGGATGTGCCTGCATGGGTCTGTGGAGAGCCCAGTGTGGGGCCAGGAGGGGAGGAAGGGGCAGAGCAGAGCAGTCCTTGCTTCCTCCCAGCCTCCTGGACCGGCAGGGGAGGAAGGAATAAAACTCCACCTTTTCCCCCCTTTCAAAGGGAAAGAGCAGCGACATTTGACACAGGTCCCAGCTCTGGCAGAGCACAGTGCCCTTCTCCCTGCCCTTTGCCATGCTCTCCTGCCCTGCTTTGTCCCCTTCTGCCCTTCCCTGGCAGGGATCTCTCTGGGGAATTCCTCTGGGGAGCTCAGACCCCTTCACTAGGGGGGTCCCCAATGGGACATGCAG